ACTTTGCTACTTTTGTGATATTACAGTAGGATCACTATTTTATTTTCCCATCTTGAAATGAAGTATTGACATCCCAAGGAAAGGGGATTAATCTAGCTTTGCATATTTCTAGATCTCAGATCTGCTTTTGATTAGTTCTAAGGAATTTGTTATGGGCGAAGTTAGAAGCATTGGTTTGATAACTGACTTTTATTTCTAATGTTGAGCTAAGTAGTCAAACTGAATTACATATGAATTATGAATAAAAAAGGACATGTATGTAATTCAATTTTAATTACAAGACAAGTATGTCAAGCATTTTTATTTAAAATTTTGAGTGGTGTTGTTAATAATTCAGCCCCAACTGATGTACATTTACTGACACTAATTGTTATACTGAAGTTGTTTCTATCCATTTACACAGATCATATATCTTGCTTTCTCAGGTCATGTTGGGAATTCTACATATTTTGACAATTTTACTATTTGTCTAGGAAGCAGGTATTTAGTTATTTTTTAAAATTTTATTTGAACAAATCAGGAAAACATTGAAATAAATACAGCACAATAAAGAAAAACCCTCCCCCATAAAGCTACACACACACACACAGTCTATCCTCAAAGAAGAAAAATCACCCCCAACAAACCATAAATAAATTTGTAATCTTAAGGAGACAAAATTTTAAGCATTATATCCAACAACTTCATGCCAAGACATATTCATAAATGGATGGAATCCAGTAGGAATTTATTCGTTAATAGACTAAAAAATGGAACCAAGTGTAACTATAGCTAAAATGTTTTTCTTTTTTTTTTTTCCTGGCATGCTAACTTTTTAGCCAGTGCTATTTTCCACACTTTTAAACAGTGTTTGCAAAAGGAGTGAAAGTATTTTACTGGAATAAATGTGAACAGAACAACATAAATTGAATGAATGCCTTTCATTGTACCATATAATATGTTCCAGACAAACTAGATAATCATTACACTACAATTAATTACTCTGAGGTTGGGGTTATTATAGGCTATTGTGTAATTTCTGAATCCCCTCACAACTGAATGAGTAACTAAATAGGCCCCACCCACTACTTTTTGGAATATCATCCCAGCGTGCTGTTAAAAGAACAAGTGTGGCCCAGAATCTCAGAAAACATTACTGTACATAGCCTTGCTTTGGCAAAAGGAGCAGGTGCCTTCACAGATTACAACTAATAAAACATCAGAAGTTATTTTTATGTACTGATGGAAAATTGTACAGATAATGTAATCTTTCCCTTTAGTACAGGCTTTCTTTTTAGCATGCCGCAATACAACAAAAAGAGACAGGCTTAAATTCAACTATACTTATATAGGATGCTAAATATTAAACAAAATAATTTTCTCACAAATGTGGAAGATAGACACTTCCTGTAGACAGACTATCTTTCACTGTATCATAGGAATTCAACTGGTGAAACGTGTAATGGATACTTTTTTCTACGGTCTCACTTTCAGAAGTGACCTACTCTACTAACTTTATAACAGATACAATCTTGCCAATAACCAATTTTCACTGAGGGAAGTGGACAAGCTTCTTGATCATGTCTAGACTAAATCATGAGCATTCCTTGGAAAATTAACAGAAACTTTTGGTCTGGATTTACAATAATATTTTAAATTAGGTAGAAGTAACCTGAGATTTTTGAGCCTATGTTTAAATCAGAGAACTCCAAAGTTTTGTATTATTAAAAACCAGGGAAAGTCTTTGTTTTATGAAGTAAATATGGAACTATATGTCAGTTCAGAGCAAAAAAAGAAAATATATAAATTCTGAAGCCATGGAGTAGAAATTATGTAAGTATGTGTTATGAAAAGGGATCTATTCTCATATTAAAATAATGGGAAAGAAAAATCTGTTTACCATGCCATTAATGTTGCTTCATATCAATTTTGCCTTACTCCTGTGCTTTTAAAATGGATATTCCATTTTATACTCATACCCCAAATATTTTGTCTCAATCAATACTACCTAGACATTGATAGCTTTATAGTTGATTGAAGAGCTATATTTGCTAATTCTATCTTATTTGCCTCCCTTTTTATATTAGAGTAGCAAAATCTGAAGTGGGCTTTTACAAATATTCATTGATAAGATTGTCCATTAATTTCTTTAATGAAATATAAATGCGCAGTTGCAATTTTAAAGGTAGAAAAAGACATACCAGAGGACTTACATATTCAGCATTAACTGTCATGTGATTAGTTGCCATTAAAGATCAATATTAAGCTTTCCCTTCCATCTTTCAATCTGTCCTGTACTTTTACTCCAAACTCCAAACTCTGTGTTGAGTTTATTTTACTCTACTTTATGCAAGTTTACTTGAATAAATGTAAAACTTTCCATATGTCCCTGGTCACATGCATATTTATTACTCTACTTGGAGTAAGCAGTCTGACAGATAAACAGGTCCCAAAACACAGAGACGTTAAAGGTTATAACCAGCACTATGAATTACACCTGGAAACAAACTGGCAACCAATGTAACTCCTGCAATATTGGCATTACATGACAATATTGGCTTGTCCTTTTGAACTTGCGGGCTACTATATTGTACATTAGTTATTTTCAACATCCATGGAAAGGAATTCTATCTTTTCCATTTCACTGCCATCCTCACTGCTCATGATTTTCCAATGTAGCAAGACTTTGCTTGTTATCCCCTCAGACAGTCCGCCCAACTTCATGCAACTCCACTTTCAACCAGGTCAACTGAATTTCACTTTGTCTTCTCCATTTCCCTTTCATTACACACTGCCCTTTCTGACTTGGCTCAAACACTATCATTCTCCCTTGCTTTTTATACCTCAAAAATTATTTAACAATCTTCAGTCCCCAAAACTGGTTCCTTCTTACTACCTCTCTAAAACATAGGAGTAATCACTCTGCCTGCACGCCAAGAATCTACTGTTGCTCCCTAAATTGGAAAAAAATGGTTAGAAATTGTGTTGTAAGGTTGTCATACAGGTAGTCCCCAGTTTAAGAACAAGTTCCGTTCCCAAGGTCTGACCTTAAGTCGAATTTGTATGTAAGATGGAACAGTATGTATAAGTAGTATTGTGTAATGAACTCAAACCATTGTGTATTTAACTTGAATCATTGTGTATTTAACTCCAATTTTGCTACAATAGGCTCCGTTCTTAACTATGGGTCATCTGTAACCCGGGCATTCTTAACCTGTATATTCTTTACATTCATCAGGCAGCAGGATTAAAACAATACTGAGCCTGTTTCTTCAAATAATATAAGGAAATTGTTGGCCTATGCCACACTGAAGTGTTATACCATAAGACTCTACACCAGCAAACAGCAGAATTATAACAAAGAAGAATAGTTTAAAAAGTGGCTAAATGCCACAGTATAATAAAGAAAAATGACACATGCATCAAGATGATATCTAAATATATTGCTAAAAAGTCAGGACTATGCCAAATCTTTTTTCCCCCCTCATGTAGCAGTAACATCCTTCTAAATCTAAGAGTCTAAGAGTCACTCTCTGGGGGAGATGGGCGGCATATAAATTTAATAATAAATAAATAAATAAATAAATAAATGAAAATAGATAAACCTCAAGAGACCATTTAACCTTCTCTTGAATGAATCAGACTCACCCTTCCCCTTTCTAACCTTGCCATTAATTTTCTGCTCTCTCTGCTAAATAATTCCTACTGGTTTTTTTCTTCCTATCCACTCCCCTCAAAAACCATACTAAATCATAAGCTAAAATTAGCAACCCCAATTTAATATGTTCATACAACACGTTATGCTAAAACAAATAAACTATCGTATGTGGTGCACTGATTCTCATAGTATGCTAAGGCTTAATGTGGTTCTGGTTTACCACATTGTGCTTATACACAGCAACTTTCTCTTTCATGAGTTTCATCTCTCAAACTTGTACGCTTCAAGGCCTTGGAAAGGATATTCCAATGTTGTGATGTGTTCAGACAACATTTTTATCCTATACTGTATACTCCAAGGATGCAAATCGTGGAACTTAATCGTGATTGTAAAAGGATGGAAAGAGTATCGATGCATTCAAACTGTGCTGCTGGAATAGACTTTTAACACCACTGCAGACAGCCAGGAAAACAAACAAATGGATCATAGAACAAATCCGTTCAGAATTTTCACTTAAGGCATGAATGACCAGGCTCCTACAATCATATTTTGGGCACATTATGAGAAGTCCCAGCTTCTTTGAGAAGTCCATTAAGCTGGGAAACGTTGAAGGAAAGAGAAGAGGATGACCAGCAGCAAAGTGGTTGGACTCAATTCGGACAGCAGTGAACGCACCAACGAGAAAACTAAAACGCCGAGTTGAAGACAGATTATCTGAGAGAATTATCTATCTACAAGTTCCGTGAGGGTCGACACCAACCTGATGGCACTTCATCAATCAATCCTGGAGACCTTCCTGGCTGCACTTCATTCCTCCTTAAGTAGGTGGCGTCCCATCTAAAGAGCCTCTTTCCATGGCGCATGCGCCCCGCACGCAGGACCTCTCTTCCTTTAGCTCTCTAAGAACCCGGAAGTAGGTTTCCCAAAGCATCCCTGAGTTTTTGTACGCGTGTCCTCCCTTCAGTTTCTCCGTCTGTGCCCTTACAGATCCTCCGGCCCCTTCGAGTTCCCGCCCTTT